TTTCTTCCTGTTGCGTTAAAAGAAAGAAGAATCGATCCGTGTCTCGCTACACCGAAGCTGTTGGAACTCGAGTTACGAACGAGTTACGAACCATGGCCGGTGGAGGCGAGGGCTGGATCGAAGGGAAGCGACTCTCAACGACGTCGACGTCTCCTCGTATTTTCTCAGGAAAGATTGGAGTATCCCCCCTTCACCCACCCGACAGGTATCACGCCTGGCTTCCTGAAGACCCTTTTGAACGTGTTCAATTTCGCGGAGAGCGTTTCAATGAGGGCCATGCTGGACAAGTGGCGGGGCCTCGCTCTTCCCGACAAAACCCTTTTCCAGCTCATGCTGGTAGGCAAATTATTGGACGAGGAAAAGTGCAACTTTTACAAATTCCTCGCGATCGCTTGCGGATTCCTTGGCAAGGTAAGAGTGATGAAAAAGAAAGGAAAAGAAACGAGAAACTCTCTCGTTCCCCTAAGCCCTTTCGCTTGCTTCATCTTTATCATCGCGTCTTTAGATAGGATACTTTTAGAAAAATCGGTCGTTAATCGATCCGATATTCCCTCGGTGGTGGATCCTGTGATCGATGAATGGGTTTTTTCGTATCGCTGGCACCGAGTGGAGACATCTTTCTCTCCCTTTTTTATTTATGCCGCGAACCATCAATCCTCTACGGTTCTTTCGCGACCCGTTTTATTATTTTATATTTTATTCAATATACGATTTTACCAGCGAAAAAATTCGATCGTCGAGACGGTGGCGGTACTTTTATTACTCTTTGTTTCTCGAGAAGGAAAGGGAAAGACGTTCTGATTAAATTTCTTTTCCCCTGGAATAAAACTGGAAACGCGGGATATCTCTCGGGATAATCGTGTCGTTATCGATCCAGCCGCGCGAAGATCGCGTGAAACGGAACCGTATTTAATTCATGGACTTTCGAATTCGAATCGATGAATCATCGTTACCGGCTCGAATCAAATTAATCACCCGCCATTGTTGCCCGGCCACAATTTCGCGACTGATTCGGGTAGCTGTGATGGTTGTGGTGGTAGTGGCAGTACATCCTTTGTGATTTCCCCTCCTCCCTTGCAGAATCTATTCGAAACGATGGTGTACGTGTGCGAATTGCTGACGGAGGAGCCAGAAGGTGGATCAGCGATGATACCTCTGCTGACCTTCATACATTTGTACGAATATCTTGCCGAGCTCGATTGCAGCGGTAGATACTCCTACATAGAGGAAAAAATCGAGCCGTTTCCCTGCGTTTGCTCCGATTTCAAGACACCCGAGCCGAGCTTGGAACCATCGGTCGAGGTTAAAACCTACCCCTCCCTTTTTTCGAGTCGGTAAACAAAATCGTTCGAACGATGCGAACAGACTGTTCAAAAAAAAAAAAAAAAAAAGAAGAGGGGGAGGAAAAAACATCGTACGTCCAGTGTTCGGCGATTTGTCGGCGAGATTATCGATCGACGATTTCTTTTTTTCGGGGTCGCGCGCGATTAATGGAACGGAAAAGGTTTTTCCGAGAGCAAATCGGTCGAGTGCTCTCCCCGCCTACCCCATCGATGACCAAATATAATTTCGTTAATAACGCACCGATGCAAATGGAAATCGCGTGCAATAGAAACGGCCGAGGGAAATAATTACTCGATGCGTCGAACCGGGTGTTCGTCCACCCTCCCCATTCGTCCCCTTCCCCCTCGAACGCAAATTTACAGAACGTCGTTCCGATTGTAGCATATTTTAACCACCCTCCGCGTCTCCTCCCTTCTTCCCTCTCCGCCCCCCCTTCGCCTCGAATCAACTCAACAGTTCGAAATCGATCGTATCGGACCGATTATCGCGATTATCGAGCGGTTCTTGTTCTTCTTCTTTCTTTTTTTTTTTTTTTCCTCTCTTCATTCGCGAATGAACGAGCGCGTGTTTCATTTTTTCCCTTTTCGTTTTCGATGGGAAACGTCAGGAAGAGATGAAGGAGGGGATCGTGTACGAGTACGCGCCGAGCGAAACCCAATCGACGGATATGCTACGACTTTGGACGGAATGTCCCCTTCCTATGGAAGGGGAAGTGCATCAGGTGACCCCTGTTCGGGACGGGACCGAGCCTAAATCGACGGATCGGAGCGACAATCCAAAGGTAAAACGAGAGATGCGTGCGAGATAACGCGTATCGCGGGGGAACGGCGAATAGAAGAAAAAGTGCAAGCCGTTCTCGCGCGGGTTGTAATCGTGGCATCGGTAACGAGTGCTAAATCCGCGTGCCTGATTTTCCGGGAAACGTTAAAATATCCCTGTTTAATTTCTCTTCGGGGAAACGAAATTTACCCGTTCGTCGCTTGAACATTTCGATTTTTCCCCGCCAAGCAAACGTCGAGTAAAATCTCGTTCCCCGGAGATTTAGAGCATTCGAAAATTTCACCACGCTTTTTCTTTCTTCGCTTCTTCCGCGGAAGAAGAGTCTCGTTGGCGGTCACTGATGTTCAACGAAACGAAACGTAATGCACGCGGTCGAGGCTCAAGTTACAATCGTTGCACCAATCTTTCCTTCCACGTATCGACAGGCCACGCGCGTGTATAAAGTGTCGGACGTTTATCGTTTAGAGCAACCCGGCTGGTAACCCGGGCATCGTGCAATACGATGGAAAATTCACCATTCCCGAATACTATCCCATGAACATGGATTTCCCTTACGACAAAGACGATGAATTGTATTTCGGGGAGGAGGAGATCGAAGAGATGGTGCCGATCGACGATATCTACGAGTACGAGACGATCGACCTCGAGAATATCCTACGCGGTATATGCGAGTGTTTGGAGCCGGTTATCGAACGGATCCCCACCCCCCCGCCGGTCGACCCTTACTTCGAGTTTCTGGAAGAATGAAACAGGAGGTGAAGAAAGGCACCGTGGACACGTATTTTCTGGTGAGGGGGATCGGCCCACCCGTCTCGAAAAATCGTATCACGGCGGTTGGCCTGTGGCTGGCAGATTGCGCTCGTCGCCAAGAGGGGCTGGTCGGGCCGCGAAATATCAGGCACGTCCTTTGCCCGGATCTCGACGATCGCCTTTACGAGAACCTTTCCAATTGCTACGATCAATAGCAACCTCTGTTTCTCTGCGTAATATATGTGATGCGTGAAAAAGTGTATCCTAACTGTGCCTGTCGTGTAACGACTGTGTCGTCGAATTTTCTTTTGCTTTTTCGAAACGCGGACACGTGTTGCTGGGGGGGGGGGGATTCGCCCGCTATTTGGGATGCGCACGCTCCCCTCTCCTCTCCCCCGCCCGTTCGTGATCGACCAACGTGTCGATTCGTGTTGCATGATCGAATCGTTAAATGCGATCGTGAGCCCGGCCATCGATATAATAAAACGGCGCATTCGTTTCATTATTTCGCTTCGCGGGAAGATAATAACGATCACGAAACGCACGCGTCCAAGCAGAGTTGTTTACATTTTAGCCGAGTTTTAGGCGTTAAATTTGTCACGCACGTTCCAGATTTAGAGGGCTATTTTAGATTTTTAGCCGCTTGGACAGATTTCGTTCTTTCCCCGCCTTTTTGTTGCGGCCGATTATCGCCAAATCGCGCGTAATTTTCTTCGGGTCGTAAAAAAGAAAAAAGGGGAGGGGGGAGGGGGAGAGGGTTTTCTCGTATAAGATGGAGGAAACGGCGACACACGGTCGCGCTCTTGTACCGTGAATATCGCCGGAAGGGACCGCATTTCGCCTCGCTCCTCGACGTTTTCCCAAAGAGGCACCCGAGTTCCCGAGTCTTCTTCGAGCCTCCTTTCCTCCTCCTCCTCCTCCTCCTCCCGTCCCTGTTCCACGATGCACGTCGTTCCGGGACCTTCTTTGTTTCTCCTCCTCGCCCTCTGCTGCCTCTCCGCTTGCGGATGGCAAATCAGGGATAGGATCGGCGATAACGAGTTGGAGGAACGAATAATATATCCAGGTAAGGCGCGAGCAGTTCACGGCAGATAGATGGCCTCTTTCACGCTCTTGTTAATTCTTCTGCCATTCAGGAACGTTGTGGTGCGGGCATGGTAACAAGGCGTCCGATCCGAGCCAACTAGGCTGGTTAAAGCACACGGATGCATGCTGTCGAACTCACGATATGTGCCCCGACGTGATGTCAGCTGGTGAATCGAAGCACAATCTGACCAACCCGGCCTCCCACACCAGGTTCCTTCTCAATTTACTTCGTCTTCTTTCCTCTCCCTTCCGAATCCCATCTCACCTCTTCTTCCTCATCTTCCTTCGAGGATACGCTTTTCCTCGCTCTCCACTTTTCAACAAGGTGACGCAACAACCGTTGCTCGCGGCCTTCCTCTTTATCTTCTTATCACGCCGCCACGCGTTGCTAGGGTTGCTCGCTCCTCGACGATGTGCCGTGAACGCCCACACGAATTTTTCCCCGAACGCGCGCGAATTGTAGGCGTGACCAACAACCGGCTACCTCGCATGAATCGCTCGAACGTGTAATAATAATAACGATAATAGTCGAATAGAACGCGTTAAAAATTAAACGGGGATTTGCAGATTTCTATTTCTAATCGGGAATTTTTCGAGAACGGGTGAGAAAGATCGTTTATCGCGTTATGTTGTATGAAATTAGGAGAAGTAAGGATAAGAGAAGAGAGAAAAATTTTGGGAAAAATGTTTTTCAACAGGTTGTCGTGCGACTGTGACGACGAGTTCTATACTTGTCTGAAAAATTCGGGAGACACGATTAGCGCGTATTTCGTAGGAAATATGTACTTCAATCTGATAGACACGAAGTGTTACAAATTGGAGCATCCCGTCACCGGTTGCGGTGAGAAGTGAGTGTGATTGGCGCGCGATTTCGATGATCCGCGAGACTCTATTTCAATTTTTCTCAACAATTCTTCAGGGTCGAGGGTCGTTGCCTTCACTACACGGTGGACGAAAGCAAGCCGAAAGTCTACCAATGGTTCGATCTTCGCAAGTACTGATAAAATTGGGACGAGTTTCTTGTCTTGTAATTGTTTATCCGCCAAGAATTTGTATCGATGTCAATTGATAAAATAACGAATGTAATAAAATAACAAAGAAAAAAAGAAAACACACACACATAAAAGGAAACATCGATCACGTCACGATATATACATCTTCGCTTCTCTCCTGACGGAGAGGATAGAAAGGCGAGCACCGCGAAAGATAAGCGAGCGGAGTCGAGTCGGCCTCGCCTTTCCGCGCGTTTTCCTTCCATTTGCGGAGGAGGGAGAGGCAGTGTGCGGGCAGCTGGCGCTTAGCCGAGGATTTCCCCGGAAATTTATGTCCGGATCGAGCGCAGCCGCGCCACGCCACGCCTCGCCTCCTCCCCCCGATTTACAACCTCTCCCTCCCCTTCCCTTCTCTCCCGCGTGCACTTTCCAACGCGCATAAGTACGCCGAAACTTTGTTTCCAAACCGACCGAGCCGAATTTCCCAACTATACGAGTCCTTATCCAAGTCTCGAAGACTTTCGAAACGATCGATCGATCGATCGATCGGAAACGGAGAGTCCGAAATAACTTTAACTCCCGTTCTGTGTATCCGTTTGATATTTCTACACGACTTTCCACTCGAACTTTTATCCGGAAAATCTTTATCGCCAACTCCCGCCCGCTTCGATAATAAGCAAGGCGGCCTCTCCGAGTTGGTCTTTCTCGAAACATTGTTCCGAGTTTGTTTCGGGCTCGAAAGTGTATTTCATTTCTATGTTAATTTAACGGGGGCCCGTAAATTCGAAATATTACTTCATTTCAGGATACGCAACAAACATCCTCCTCCTCTGTCGCGAGTTTATTATAGATTTATTAAGAAAAATTATCAAGGAAAATGGACGCTCCTATCCTATAACGGGCGGAAATTCATTTCCGTGGCTTCCGTGGAAAATCTTGTGTTTAGGTGGTAGAATAGGATAAGATAGGGGAGGGAGGACGATTCGTGTCTTTGATCCAAAGTAATCCATCTTCTCTTCTTTTTTTTTTTTTTTTCCCCACCTTTCCTCTTCCGTTTCCACCAGTTTCGTTTGAAAACCAGTTTCCGCTAATTCGAGCAATCGATTGGAATTTTTTCAGACGTGGCGGCCTCGGTGGAGGTTCACTTCGAGAACAAAGATGGGGGATTTTTCCTGAAGCACATACCGAGGCAGTACTATCCCGTGAGAGGGGATCCCATCTCGGCGATATCTCCGTCGACGGGGACGTTGTCGAACGGGGTGCCGTCGGCTGCGCCGGGCTCCGTCCTCTCGATAGACAAATTCACGGTGTTCCAGACGAGCGAGCCGGTCTCGGTGCGGGCCACCTACGGCCCGTTTAGCACGAAGCAAACCGTGCCCGCCCGTTACATCGTGCCGGATCCATTGGACGCGTTGCCCGGTCCGGAAACGAGGCGGAATCTGACGGCTGCGACGATTCTGGACGCGCAGGAGCTGGGCGCCCGCCACCTCGACATGTCCGCCCATCTGGTCGGGAACAGCGTGGCCCGCGACTCCCCCGTGCTCAGGGTGTTGTTCCACGCCGGAAGCGAGGCAGGCGGAAGGCGGCAGTTGCTCCTTGCCCGGCATCAGAGAGTGTGCGTGGTTCTGCACGCGAGCTTGGCCACGCCGTCGAGGAGCACCGTTAACAGAAACAACGGGAGAACCTCTTACTCCTCGTCCTCCTCCTCTTCCCCCTCCTCCTTCTCCAGTTCCTCGTCCGCCCTAACGGCAGCCTGCAGCCCGGACGGGGAGAACGGAGTTTGTTTGGCGCAGATCACCATACCTGCCGATTGGTGGGCGCCGTTACCACCGCCGGACGCTTCCGGCCGGGTCAAGGTCGCCAAGAGCCTGCCCAGGCTCGTGCAGGTCGCCTACTCCGTGCTCGAGCCGAGGACGGAGGAGGCCGGCTCGGCCGACAACGGGGCAGCAGGCTTCTGCAGGCCCAGGGTCCAGATCCAACCCGTCACGCCGCTCGGCCAGGTGCCCCTCGCCCCGAACCGGGCCGATTACAAGGAGCTCAAGGCCGACGATTCGCTCACGCTTCTGGTACCGCACGGCCCCCTCTACCCGAGGTCCCGGCTCCACGTCCCGGCCTTCCTTCACCCGTCGAAGATCACCGATCCGAGGCAGGAAAGGGCGCCGCTCGTCATCGCAGTTTACCTTAGGTGAGAAATTAAATTCTCTCTCTCTCTCT